GGGATGGGTGAAAGTTACACATTTAGAGATAAATTTGGCTTCGTGTGAAGGGGAACTCTGCTAACAGAATTAACAAAGCCTGTCCAACATTGTTCTTTCACTAGTTTTAACAAATATTTAGCAAGCTCCTTCTGACTAACATGTCAGAATATTGGGATTATAACATGGATCAATACAGACTAAACGCTGTTCTCATGAAGCACACATTGTGAATGAGGAGAAGCAGGCAAAAAGCTAATGAAAAAAAGATAAATATTGGAACTTCAGATTGCGGAAAGTACTGTGAAAACCTAAAACAGAGTTGTGTAATAGAGAATTGGCTTGTTCACTATTAAAGTGATCTTTCTGAAGGAGTGACATTTGAACTAAAATATGAATATGAGAAAAAGTCAAAGACATATAAATGTCTAAGGGAGAGTATTCTAGGCAAAAGGAATAGCCAATGCAAAGGTACTGAGTTGCCCACAGCTTGACAATGTACCAGAGGCAGTAAGACCAGTGCAGCAGGCACGTGAGTGAATGGCAACGTGGTTAGATGCGAAGTTGGAGAAGCAGTAGGGAGCCCAATCATGTAAGACTTGAACTGAGTCAAAATGGGAAGTCACTGGAGTATTTTAAGCAAGAAAATGAATAATAAAATTTACATTTAAGAACAACACTCTTACTACAGTGTAAATGGGAGTGAGGAGAGGGCAGCAACAGTGGAAGCAAGATCAGCTGTAAGCTTGTTACAGTAACACACAAGAGAGCTGGTGTTGTTTAGTGATTAGTGATGGCGGCTATATGGAAGATGCAGTGGGGAATCAGCGTGTTTTGGAGGCAGTGCCAATAGAAATTTCATATGTATTGGAGGTGATGAGTGAAGAAAAGAGTAAAATAAAGGATGACTCTTGTTCTTTGACTTGAACAACTAGGTAGTTAGTAGTGCAATTCAGTAGAATGTAAGCTCCATGTGGAAAGAAACCTTGTTTCATTTCACTGATGCTTTATTCCAAGTTCCTAGATCAGTAAGTAGCACAAACCAGTGACTCAGTAAGTCCATAATGATTATATTGAATATCGGATCTGGGGGAATTAAGAGTTCTGTGTGAGAATGTGAAATTGGAGCCCTATTAAATATCCATTGTTAGATGCAGAGTAGCTACATTTCCAGAGCTTGATGTCCCGGGTGGACCTCAACGCTAGAGATATGAATTTGGGGTTCATCAGCATGTAGCTAATACTAAAGTCACGGGACTGGTTGAGTCTACTTATGGAGATGGCATAGACCGAAAAGACCGAAGACCCAGACAAGACTTGAAATACTCTAACAGAGGAAAAGTAAAGGAGCAGGGATCAGCAAAAGAGATGGGGAAGCTGTATTCATTAAGGTAGTAGGTAATCCAGGAATGTGTGTAGCACAAACGTCAAAAGAAACCTCTGGAGGAAAGAGTGCTGTTGAGAGAGTCAACGGTAACAGACAGAGAGGGGTCCCTGATGCTGATAGCAGGGAAGTAATTGGTGAACCCTGACAGAGCAGTATCAGGGAGGTGCAGTTGAAGTATAGAGAGCAGTTGCTTCACTTAGTAAATTCTTTTGAGTGTTTAAACAAGTTTTTAAAATAAATTGGCATGATAGCTGTTAAGATTATAATGAGAAGATATAAAGCTTATGATGAGAGGATATAAAGACCATGAGGCAAGTAGAAGAGGCAATTAAAGACGTGCATCTTTGTAATGTGTCAGTGATGTACATAGACAACGGTGGCTGTAGCTGGCTCGTATTGGCTCATAAGGACGAATTGCTGCTAAATTTCAATGTAGCTATTCAAAACAGCCATTATTAAAAGTAAATTTTATAAACGTGCAATTAATAATATGTGATATTAAACATAAAGGTAATGAATACTCAAAACCAACAACTCTCTCATTATTTTGCTACATTTTAGTATGACCTACGTCCTTGAGGTTGGTAATGAAGACTTAACTAAATGTGTCACATCTATAGCCATTATTTTGTAAGTATTGTTTAAACTGAGGAAATATTCTTCCAGCATTCAAGAACTAATATGATTCAACAAGTAAGTTTCCCACTTGACTGGTGAATGACTGAAGTTTTGACGTAAGTCTTTGTTGTTTTGCTTTTGTCTTACTAGTCTAAAGGAAAATCTCAACCAACATTCATGTTGGAACTAACTCAGTCATCAATTGTAACTATAGATTGATATGGACACAAGAGTTTGGCAAAACTCAATAAAAGCATTTTGTGACAATCAATTGGCTAAATGAAATTTGCAATAAAGAGTATTACATATTTGGCCGGGCGTGGTGGCTCACACCTGTAATCTCAACACTTTGGGAGGCTGAGGCAAGTGGATCACTTGAGGTTGGGAGTTAGAGACCAGCCTACAAAATGTGGCAAAACCTCATCTCTACTAAAAACACAAAAATTAGTCAAGCATGATGGCATGAACCTGTAATTCCAGGTACTTGGGAGGCTGAGGCATGAGAACCACTTGAACTCAGGAGGCAGATGTTGCAGTGAGCCAAGATCACGCCACTGTACCATTGTGATAGAGTCAGACTCTGTCTCCAAAAAAAAGAGAGTATTCTATATTTTGTTATGATTTGCAAATTACTCACTATATATTCTAAATATATAGGGGTATGTGAGTATATTTATTTATATGTTACACATATATGTTTTCTGTATATATATGTTTCCATTATATATGGAAACAAATATATATTATTTGAATATTCAAACTTTTTTGGAGAACAACTTATTAAACATTTGCAAGTACACCACTGCCTCCCACTGAACAACCGCATAAGCCCCAAAATCAAATTCATGCCCCTGGTGTTAGGATCTGGCTAATGGAACTGGAATGGCAGTAGAAGTAGAGATGAGAGTGGAGAAAGTAGGTATACATAACTGTTTGGGACGCTTCAAAATAAATGGGGCAGTAGCTAGTGGTGGATTGGGGTCAAAGAAGATTTTTAAAGGAAGAAGAAAAGAGAATGTATTATATGCCTTTGGGAATGATCTAGGAAACAAGAGAAAGGTTGATAATAATGGAGTAAGATTATTGAAGGAATAAAATCCTTGAGAAGGTCAGAGGAAACCAAAGTAAAAGCATAAATGGATCTACTACAAACCTATTAGAATGGCCAAAATCCAGAACACTAACAAAACTCAATGCTGGTATGTGAAGCAACAAGGACTGTAAGTCATCGGTAGTGGAAATACAAACTAGTTTAGCTGCTTTGAAAGACAGCTTGGCGGATTCTTAGAAAACAGAACATATTCTTACTACACGATCCTTTACCCAGGGGAAATGAAAACTTATTTACACTCAAAAATCTGCACATGGATGTTTATAGCAGCTTTATTTCACAGTTGCCCAAACTTGGAAGCAACCGAGATATCCTTCAGTAGGCAAATGAGTAAATAAACTGTGGGACATCCAGACAATGGAGTATTATACAGCAATTTGTGTCGTTTGTAGGGACATGGATGAATCTGGAGAACATCATCCTCAGCAAACTGACACAAGAACAGAAAATGAAACACCGCATATTCTCACTCATAGGCGGGTGATGAAGAATGAGAACACATGGACACAGGAAGGGGAGTACTAAACACTGGGGTCTATTGGGGGGAAAAGGGGAGGGCCAGTGGGAGGGGGAGGTGGGGAGGGATAACCTGGGGAGAAATGCCAAATGTGGGTGAAGGGGAGAAAGGAAGCAAAACACACTGCCATGTGTGTACCTATGCAACTGTCTTGCATGCTCTGCTCATGTACCCCAAAACCTAAAATGCAATAAAAAATAAAAAAATAAAAAAAAAGAAATGAACTATCAAACTATGAAAAGATACAGAAGAACCTTAAATGCATATCACTAAGTGAAAAAAAAATCTGAAAAGCCTATATATGATTCCAACTGCATAACATTCTAGAAAAGCCAACACTATTGAGACAGCAGAAGATCATAGTGGCTGCTAGGAGCTTTGGGAAAGGGGGAAAGATGACTAGGCAGAGCAAAGAGGATTTTTAGGGCGGTGAAAATACTCTGTGTGACACTGTAATGACGGATAAATGTCATTTTACATATGTTCCAACCCATAAAATGTGCAAGACCAGGAATGAACTGCAATGTAAACTACTGACTTTGGAAAACAATGATATTATTATTGATTGTTTCTCATAAAATGCTTTCACTGAGTTTTGCCAAACTCTTGTATCCATAATCAACCTATGGTTGCAATTGATGACTGAGTTAGTTCCAACATGAGATTTTCCTTTAGCTGAACTAGTAAGACAAAAGCAAAACAATAAAGACATGTCAAAACTTCAATCATTCATCAATGTAAGGTCATCAGTTACAACAAATGTACCACTCTGTTGAGGAGTGTTGATAATAGCAGAGGCTATGCATGTGCTGGGGAAGGAAGTACATGGGAAATCTCTGTACCTTCCTCTCAATTTTGTTGTAAATCTAAGACAGCTCTAAAACAATGAAGTCATAAATAAGGAAATTAGGGAGACAATTTATATATTCACTAGAAGGTAGAGGGTAAGAGAGATATAATGACAAGATGACCTTTAATCTTCATTCTAAATCCTGAGAAGCTAAGATTTAGATATGAGAAATATAAAAGCCATTTGGCTTCTACAAATTCAGCACATTTAACTATAACTATACCTAAAAGCACTCTGAAGTTAGTGTTCCTGATTTTCAAGCTGCCTTTTTCATTTTAAGTGTTTAGTGACCATTTATAGAAGTTCCACATTTTGCAGAAAACAGAAAAATAGCGAGCAGGCTTTTCCTTTGCTAATACTTTCTTGCAACACTCAAAAATGAGGATTCTATTTCCTCTCTCTGCATATATTTGGGAATAAGTTACACATCGTTGCTGCTGTCGCAGCTGCTGTTCCTCACGGTAGACAAAGGTTTCCAAAGCAGAGGGAGGCCAGCTGAGGGTAGCACCTCTGGTAAGAAAGTTTTAAAATGTCTTACTTGTTACACCAATGAGAGTTGTAATGGCCAGATCCTGGAACAGAAACTGGTAATTTGAAAGGCTGTTTGTCTTCTGAAAATAAGAAGAAATCAGATCAAAAAGTTGTGGCCTTCTGGATGAAATTAAACATTGATCACATTTATTTTCTCACTGAGACATAGGTTTTTCAAGTAATTACTGTGGAGATGCTGTGGTTGGGGCCTGGTTGAGTTGATGAGGGATGGTGTTGGTGGAAGTAATCAAAACCAAATCTGTGAAACCCTCTCTCTTCAGGAGGGCCGTCATCGTGTGCTTTAGGGGCACATGATGTGCATCGTTATTAATTTGTTGAGGAGGACATCTTCACCTACCAGATTCATGTCTGTTCTCTTTGCTACTTGTTAACAGAAAATTAAGGATTTCATCTCACACAATAAAAGAATACATCCCTTACATAAATTTTACTGATGGAAAATGAGAATAAGTAAACCCATGATTTGCATTCTTGAATGTTTTTAGACAAAATGTTAGAAATTCCTAGCAAGGCATCTTAATACTCTTGAGGAAAAAGTTCAAGTCTTACCAATTTTAAGAAACTCACTTTCCTGCTCCCCAACACTTAGTGGAAAGGAGATGATGCTTAATTCTACTTTTGAGTACAACTTAAGATTCTAAAATAGAGCCAAATTTCCATAAATAGCCTATTCTTCTCTAGCCCATTTATCAGTGAGTAGGAAAAGATACAGTTAATCTGAAAGCAATAGAACTAAAACCTTTAACCCAGGAAAAAGAAAGCACTATATAAAGATGATGACATTTCCTTTTTGGAGTAAGCTCACATGCTGAGTTCACAGATGATGGGCATGTTTTTTCTCCTTTTATATCTTGCTAAATAATAAAAGTCATCACAAGACTTATGTATTTTTTGTGATATGATATGCCAATTTTCACATCCCTATATTCAGGGAACCAGTGGCATGCTGGCTTAGACTAACACTGGAAAGCCAATTGCTAAATTTTCAGAGATGTGTGACCTGGTTGTTGAACAAGGTCAGTATGAAAACTTAAATTAAACCAATGTACCATTACATAAATTATACTAAAACTAAAGTTAATAAATACTCAAAGCTGAGCATTTTGTGGATATTTTTCTACATTTTACTGTTATCTGTGCCCTTGAGGTCATTTCAACTCTTGTATCTATATGGTGCAAGTATTATAGAATGATATACTACTGTACATTTTTCTCCACTTCATGTTCAGTGACAATGGAGAGATAACTTGAAACTGGTTATGGTAGGAGTATTTACACCACTGAAATGGCAAACATTAAAAATCAGGTCTTATTTTCCTGAGGAGGTTCAATTATGAAGCATTTAGTTAGCAGCACCCTGATGTGGAGAACTATTTCTTTACTGAGTGGTAGACTAGGGTAGAGCCACATTGGAATTAGGAAGATAAAGACCTGGTCCAATCAGGTAAAAGTAAGAGCCAGAGGAAAGGAATATATTTAGTTGTGATTCTCAGCTGTCACTAGATAAAAGATTTCTATATCAGAGAATTGACATCAGCAACTTTTCCTGTGAAAATTTGTCTCATTCTGATTTACTTTAAAAATTCTTAAGGATATTTTTGGAAGGGCTATTGCTGCTGAGATACCCTATTTGTACTCTTTCTTTAAGAGGCATTGTAAATTGAGAGCGCACCGCTGCTTTAGTTCACACTAACCAAGAGGCTAAGTCCCAAGTCATACCCAGTAGAGCAGCAGAACACCAACATACTGAATCATGCTGTATAGAGCCATGTACTTAAACATGCAAAAGGAGGTCACGAGAGCTGCACGTCCTTCCCTGTGTAAGAAAAGAAATGAAAAAGACATGAAAGTAACGAAAAGAAATAAGGTCAGTTATTCTGTGCTGTTCAGCTGAGCTCAGGAGAAAAAAATCAAAAGTCATTACACAACCGTTTGTCTGAATATCGACAGCCTTGAGGTGGCGGATGCTGGCTGTCAGTAAACTGAACAACCCGATTTTTAAGAAAGACCAATTCCAGGCCAAGTTCCAAGTGCCTTAATCTGGTGATGGAGTCTAGATTTACAGTTGCTCATGTCCTTTCAGCAGGCATGGATTTAGCTCCTGAACTCAGATCGGGTGACCTGGGAGCTAGTGCCAGATCTTATACCTATTCACTAATGTGACATGGAAGATCATTTCTTTTGTCTCAGTTTCTTCATCTGTGACCTAATGGATTTAAACAAAATTGCAGATTTGGGGGTTATTTTCATAATGAAGACTCAGGAGCTTGGCAAGCATTTGATTCAAATTTCATTTTGGCAGTCCCAGCTTTTTCTAAAACTGGACTAAAACAATATACACACTTAAATTAGTCATATATCAAATTGAAATAGGCTGGAAGGGATGAGCATTTTCATTTGTGTTATTGTCAGTTGATTGACTAATACGCATTTAAAGCATGAAATAGATGACATATGAAATGTCACTTTTATCTATTTCATTTGGGGAAAATTAGAGTTTTTACATTTTAAATTTTTATTATTTTATGAGAGAGTCTTGTTCCATCATCCAGGCTGGAGTGCAGAGTGTTGCTCCATCACCCAGGCTGGAGTGCAGTGGTATGGGAAAATCTCTCTAAGGAGGTGGGGAATAAGGAAAAACTACCTCTGGGCAGAGGAAATGTCATGGCAAAACTCTGCTACAGTAAAAAACTTGGTTTGAGGATTTCAGCTCACTGCAACCTCCACGACTCAGGTTCAAGGGATTCTCCCACCTTAGCCTCTTGAGTAGCTGGGATCACAGGCATGCATCACCACTTCTAGCTAATTTTTTTTTTTTTTTTTGTATTCTTAGTAGAGGCGGGGTTTCACCATATTGACCAGGCTGGTCTCAAACTCCTGACCTCAGGTGACCACACACCTCGGCCTCCCAAAGCGCTGGGATTACAGGCATGAGCCACTACCCCCAAACTAGATTATACTCTTTTAGTTTAAGTTTAAAATCATGCCCATTATGATTTCCTGGGGTACTAAAACCTGATCCTCAAACTAGGTTTTTTCTGTATCAGAGTTTTGTCAGGACATTTCCGCTGGCCAGAGGTAGCTTCTCCTTATTCCCCACCTCCTTATAGAGTATTTCCCATCCCTCCCCATCTGAAGCAGCCACTTCCACCTGCATAGCCATTTTACTCCCTTTTACCCTTTTTATTTCCTTGATAGCACCTGTCAAAATCAGTAATCTCCATTAGTTTCTGACACTAAATGCCTACTCACTAAATATTTGTCAAATGCATGTATAAATAAAAAATTGGAAGGACTTAGCCAAAGTATTATTTTAATATGGTGGAAGAGTATATCTATAGATAAACCACCTTTGAATAAAATTAATTCTAAAACAATCTCTAACCTCATATGGCTATATGTGCTTGGGCGCATTAACTGAATTTTCTGAACTTCAATTTTTTTTATTTGTTAAAAAAAATAGCCATTCCTGCATCTCCAAGCTGTTTTGAAGATAGCAGACATTATAGCATTTTTAAACTATAAACACATCAGTTATAATAACCAAGAGCAGCCACCATGCTAACTATCTGCATCATTCAAATATAATGCAGCAGAAGTACGTTTTTGGCAGAGTGGGGGAGCATCAAAGCAAATTTTAGTGAAAGCAGCAAGAGTCAATTAAGATTGTGAAAACTTTATTTTTCAAATAAAAATTGAAAAGGAGTTAGATAACATTTGAAAAATGAGGATGATTGACACTTTTAAAGCAGTAACAAGTTCCAAAATCCAGTCTTCTAAAAATAACCTAATCAGTGAATTCATTGGAAATGCCACTGCTCTCCCAATGTTACTTTTAACTTCTGGAAAATCCATTTGGAAGAAGAATGGTTGACTGTGTTCTTCCATAAAGCACCCTCCCCACTCAGGGACACAACGTTTCTCTGGTTGTTCCCAGGCAGAACAATGTGATTTGCACCAAAGGTCAAGAGAGAGAAAACCACATTTGAGGAAGTGCCTACTTACTTGATAAGGTGAGGTACACACTCAATGTTTGGAGTTTTGGAAGTGAAAGGTGAGGCCACAGATGCCTCCTGCTCTGATAAAGAGATGCCCACATGAGCCATTTTCAGAGCCTGAAAGCAAAGAATCAGCTTACTCCCCATATGGACTCACAGACGTCTCTGCTAAAGCCTCATAAGAAGAGGCCAGTTAAGCTGGCCACAAGGTAGTTTGTATGCCCAAACTCTAACCAAGAGACTTAACCCTGCCTGCAGTGTAAGAAAAAGGCCACATTAGGATACCCAGCCAAAGAAATGAGAATTCCAGAACCAAATTCTTCCCCATGTAGCCTAAACTAACCATTGACTCATCATGTGACTTTGGTCAAAGTCACAAGTTTATCCATTAAGATGAATGGAAATGGTGTATATCCCAGGAGTATTACCTCTACAGGGCTTACGTATAATTGAACGTGAGATTATGGCCACACACACTGGCAGCTACTTACTCCGCAGTCATTGGCTCCATCACCACACATACCTACAAAGTAACTAAGAGGGAACCACATTAATTGTAGAGGACATCAAAGCTATCTTGCTCATTTCTCTAATTAAAAAAACAAAGTGATCATCACTAAGGTTCAATCTCATTATTTAAGGGAATTTTCCTAAGAGTCTGGTTTGACTGAAAAAAGGGTAATTCAGCAGTTTATACAATGACTGTAAGTGTTCCATGTAGACACTGCACGTCACTGCATAGGGAGAGCTTTCTCAGCTGTAAAACAGAGGTGCTCACGATTATATGATGTACGTATGGCATGGCAGAGAGGCCATAGGATTTGAAACCAGATCTAGATGTTGACCTGGCCATCTTACCCTTTTCACTATTATTATTATTCCCATTATTATGATTATTTTGCCTACGAAATGCTATGAGTATTAAATGAGGTACTTTATTGGAAAGCGTTCATCAAGCCTAAAGTGATAACAAGTCATAGTGGTTTGTGCTATTAATACTGGCATGAGAGGAAAGCCACCCTGTCAACAGTCACTCAAGTATGTAATGCCAGGCCTAGAAGCTGAAGAAAGAAAACACACTCCTGCTTCAGAATGGCTTTTTGAGGAAGGGTGAATACTCTCTTGAATCATTGACAAGGATTATTAATAGCCAGCTTTAAAAATTAGGCACATTCTGACAGCATTCATAGAATATGCTGTACTTTTCTTCCACACTGCTGTATGGAGGTAACTCGTTGACTGCCTAGGTTTCAGCCATGTTGAAAAGACGGGGCTTTCTGAACTGAGAAGCTAGCCTGATAATGTAGTCAAATGAATGGGAGGACAGAGTAGAAATGGGTAGGAGTCAGAACCATGTTGTTGTGACCCGGTGAGAAAAGTAGTGAAAGCCTCTGGTACTCTGTGGGGTTCTATTAACAGGAAACAAAGGGTCCCAAATGATATGGGCACTTCATTTGGACTGCCCATTCTGTCTAGGAATGGAGACCCTTTGTGTTAGAAGAGAATAATTTTTCTGATTTAGAATGGGAAAGAATGCTTTGGCATACAAATAATGTAGTATTTTTAGGGTTACATGAATCTCTTGCCATATGAATCTCCTTATGTCATCATTGTGATGACAGCATATACAAATAAAGTCTAAATTCTCATTCCCTCTGGGAGCTGAGCTCAAGCTACCTTTCCAGTCTTATTTCTCCCCATACTCTTTCAGGCCCCTTAGGTTCTAGTGCAGTGATCCTCAACATCAAATGCAAAATTGACTTATGTGAAAAAAATACTGATTTTTCAAGCCCCATATAAACAAGTGAATCAGGATGTCTGAATGGTGGGATCCCTTGGTATTGCTCTTTTTCCCAAAGCTCTCCAGTGACTGCCTCATGCAGCCAGAGTAAGGACCACTGGCCTTGCCAAACTGAGTGACTCCCTGTGCCTCTTCCACTCCCCCCGACTGCTATGCCTTTATGCACTTCATGCCACCTGCACTGGCAAAGAACCTACTCCAGTTTTTGAAATTCTTCCACCAGACTGGATTTCTGCCCAGGAGACATTCTTGCAAAGATGGTCCCATTGATCAGTATCTGTAAGGAACCCAAAATGGAGATTTTTTTTTTAATCAAGTCAACTGGCTGGACATGAAATAATTGATAACACTCAGAATGTTGACTGTATCAAGACATTTATGATAAAGAAAAAAACAGTTTCCCATGAGCCTTCCTTTGTATTTTAAGACAAACATTGAGGGTTTGGTCATCAGATAAGTGGTCAGTGAAAAACAAAAATCAGTAAAGATAATCACTTAACAAAAAATATTTTATGAAAATGATGACCTACAGGAATTTACCTCAGCTGCCATGTGGAATGTCCTGAAAAATCTTGAGCTTAATGGAACCTTGAATTGCAAAACAGCAAGAGGTTGAGGGACAACTATATATTTAAAACTTACCTCCCCCGCTACTAAAGCTTTAAGTTTGACCTTCTTGAGTACAGAGGTCATCTACCAAAAAACTAATGGTGTTCCTTTATTCTTGGTCTGCCTTCCTGTATAACTGCAGAGTTTCCACTACACTTTGAGACCCCTCACCAGGGCAATATAGTGACAGCCATCTAAAATCATCTTTATAATTCAAGAAATCACTGACACTTCAATCGTATAGATAGATGGTGGAAAATTGACTAATCAAGTTTATTTATTTCAAACCTAGTAGGAAATAAGACAATAGTATCCTCTACAAAAATATTAGTCTCTCTTAAATACAGAGAACTCACTGAATATGTTTTATCTGTTTCAAGATTTGAAATAGTTTACAAGCATGCTCTGTAAGTGACATCATCAGCATTTTCACAGGGAGATTGTTACCCTCTGAGAACTTACCTTTGGCAGTAAGCTGCTGAAATGTTGACTTATAACATGAAAGGATTTTCCAGTTAGGGCAAAATGGTAACTTCCTTCTCTGCCGTTATCAGAGACTTCATCCCTGATGTTAATGTAATTGTCCTACAAAGCAAGACACAGTTATTTTAGACTCTTCATTTGACAGAGTGGTTAGAACCACAAGCATATCTGAGAGAAGATAATGAAGACAGCCCAGGATCTCTCTGTGAGGATCACTCTGATTCCACAGAGAAGCATTTTCTTCTTGCTAGATCAGTCTTTGCACATCACAGACAACTAGTGAACAGGATAACACTTACTCATGTCCTGTTTTCATCCTGATTTGATCTTGCTAAGTCCCAGAGAAGAGCACATTTCACACATTTCAAGTGTAAAATACAAAAGCACTGCAGCTTAACAAATTTCTCCCTGAAATGAGAACTTACTATTTTTTTCCTTAGGGAATTAATATTGTTCTACAAGGATACAATGGAGATTGAATACTGACAAGACTGGCAATAAATGAATAAAACTTTTTTTCTCACCCTGAAAACACAGTCTGATTTTCTGACTATGTTTTCAGGGTGAGAAAAAAGTTTCACACACAGCAGCATCTCTCCCAAGAACTAGATCCCCTTTGAACCCAGTGGGGTGGTTGACAAGCAAGGGGAAAGGGAGAAGTTAGATTCAGCCCAACTCACTATATTCTTTCTCATACAGGGCCAACCGTTTTTTTAAGTTTAAAAGATGGATTCTTTCCAGCACACAGGAAAGCCCTATATCTTCAAGCTCAGTAAGAAAAGTTTGGGAAAACCAATGTAATTGAGTTCATTCAACAGCATATATGCTAGAACCTTGGAAGCATATGTTGACTCTAGGTCAAAGCTGCTTAGTCACCAACACTGTAAGACACATTGGTCATGTGGCAGAAGGTCTGTGTTCAGGAATACCTGATTTTCATACATAATGTGTTTCTTCTCTTCTACTAATGTCCAAGATATAGATGCTGATGAGGACCCAGTGGTTTCATTTGCCTCAATGAGAATGACTTTCTGGCTTTTAGAAACCATTCCAGATTTTCTGGCCACTGTGATGGCAGTCTGAAGATTGTCACCTAGAGGAAAGGAGGAGCATCTCAAAATGAGGCTGGCGAGATAGAGCTAATTCATGCAGAGCCTAGAAAACCAGTGTGGGGAGTTCAGTCCTTATTTCAGGTATGAAGAGAAATGATCCCTAATACCTTTTCAGCCCTGACCTTTGTGACTCCACGATCCCTTTTCTGGTTCTTACTGATTTTCATCAAGTTACTTCATATTCTACCAGTGTGTTTTTGCCAGACTAAGGGAGAAAATGAAAAAGCAAAATCCAAATCTATTTTCATCATTTGTTAGCAGCTTTGCAAGTGTTTAGGCAAATCCTCTGGTTTAGTAGGGTATCTGGTGGTTCCACTTCTAGTCAAAATGGAGTAAGCCCTCTATGATCTCTCTCTCCCACTGATTACAATGGAAAACTCTGAACAAAAACCAAGAAGCAACTCCCCAAGGACTTTGAAATGTAAACAAAAGCAGGCAGATGGTGAGAGGGAGTCAAATTTGTAGAAGCAACATACAAGGGAATGGGTTTCTCAGCTTTTTTTCTCTTCCCTCTTCCATATTTGACTGGCATGTGGGCCTCAGTTCAGAAGCTGTTTGGGCATCAGAACTCCAAAAGATACCCAGTCTTTCTGGCCAGAGGAGCCAGGAAAAGGGACGCTTGCAGGCTAAAGAGCATGGGCAGAATCCTGGAAAGGATAGGGCCAGACTAATTCAGTATATGAATTATATAAGTCTCAAATTCAGCCTAGAGCTGTGCGTGTGTGGATCAGATCCAAAGAAAGATAACAAAAGCTTCAGGAATTAAACTATGATATAAATCACCCCCATTTGTGAGAGTAACCTCTGAATGAAGCAGACCCAAACATCATAGCACAAGATTTTATATTTAAGCTAATATTCGAACCACCACCTACAACAGGAAAGATAGAGGTTATGGTTAATTGCTAGCCAAAAAACAAACAAACAAACAAACAAAAAACCCTCAACAGTCTCCAGAGGATTATAATAGGATTCAAAGTTTCACAACATAATATTCAAAATGTTCAGGCTATTCAACATGAAAAATCTCGAAAATCTGGCCAATTCTCAAGAAAAATCACAACGGTTGGCAATCCCCTAAATAACCTAAATGTTGGAAGTACAAGATAATGGTCTTTAAAGCAGCTTTCATAATCCCCCTTCCTGTGTTAACTGTTAATATTCCTGAAATAGGTGGAAAGATAGAAGTTCTCAACAAGGAAATATAAACTGTAGGGAAAAAACTGAATAGATACTTTAGAATTAAAAAATATAATACCTGAAATTAAAAAAAAATCACTGAATGCACTCAATAGCAGAATAGATCAATGGAAATTATACAACCTGAAGAACAGAGAGAAAAAAATCATTTTAATGAACAGACTCAAAGATATCAAAACAGTTCATATTCATGTCATTAGGGTCCAAGGAGAGGAAAAAAGGTCAAAAAAGAAAAAAAATGAAAAAATAATAGCAGAAATTTTCCCAAGTATGATTTTAAAAAAACTTAAATTTACAGCTTCAAGAAGCTCAGTGACTTCCAAACAAGATAAACTTGGTGAGAATCACAACCAGACACATAATAATCAAAATGCGAAAAAATCAAAGAAAAACAAAAAAGCAGTTAGAGAAAACCACATTACGTATAAGAAAACAGTAATTCAAATTACCACAGATTTCTCATCAAAAATTTGGAGGGAAGAAAATAGTGGAACAATATCTTTGAAGTGTTGACTTCATCTTTCACTTTGAAGTGTCAACTCTAACTCCTGTAGACACTGAAACTATCCGTCAGGAATAAAGGAGAAACGAAGACTTTATCAGATGAAGGAAAATGAAGATAATTGGTCAAAAGTGGATACGCTCAAAAGAAAAACAACAACAACAAAAGCTACAGGTTCTTCAGGTTGAAAGGAAATGATACCAGAGGTTAACTTGTAACTTAAGGAGTGAAAACACAGAAACAGAAATAATAATAATCTGGGTACATATAAAAGTCTAATTTTCTTTACTCAGGTTCTTTAACTTCAGTATTGAAAGTAAAGACTATCTCACTATCTGGTGGGGGGTTTCAACATATGTCATACTTATGACAATAATGACATAAAGGAGAGAAAGAAAGAGACATTCCTGGTTATAAGACTTCTTGAAAGGAAAGGTATGTATGTTGTGATTCCGAGAGCAACCATTAAAAAATTAATCATATAACATCTGGTGGGCTATCCTAACATAGCTTCTCCCAGGTTTCTACCAAAATGCGTACGAAGATTCTCAAAAGAGCTGAAGTGGTGGGAAGGAGCTACCTGAGGCTGGAAGGTTATAGGGAGCCCCGAACCTGCCTCAGCAGGCTCCTGACAGCCTGTCTTCTTTTTGCCATCTACCACCTGTGAGAGATCCACTGATCAGGATAAACATCCCAGGCCTGAGCACCAATCACCTGACCCAAAAAAAAAAAAAAAAAAAAAAAACCGTCTAACAACCTATTTAAGAAATCCGAGACGCTGAACAGGAAAGATCAGGAGGAACAATCAGAGCACGTGAAGTCAAGAAGCTGCTGGAGACCGACGAAACCTGCTTTAAAAATGAGGCGAGCACTTAAGAAAACTCAAATGCAGCAAAAAACATTTTCTTGAGCAACTCCCACCACATACACATTTAAAAACCGAACGACTCAAAAGGGGATTTGAAAAAGATAGTGAGCATTGTTGAGACCTAAGATTGTGCTTTGAACAAACTGGGTGCAAAGAAAGAAAAAGTCTGAAAGCAAAATTATAAAAATATACAATCTAAAGCCAGGCACAGTGGTGCACACCTGCAGTCCCGGTTACTCAGGAGGCTAAGCAGGAGGATCACCTGAGCCCAGGAATTCAAGGCTAAAGTGAGCTATGATCATCCCATTGCACTCTAGCCTGGGCAGCAAAGCAAGACCCTGTCTCTAAAACATAAATAAAAAAAATATGACAACTACGAGAAAAAAAAGATAGATGGAAAGGATAAACAGTAATGAAAATTCCAAAAGTAAAAATGGAAAGACAGAGAATAGAGGCAAAAATTAAATAAACAATAGGGAAAATTTTTCTGGCAGGAAGAAAGATTTAAAAAGTGCCCTCCATGTTTCTCCCACTCCTATCTCTTCCTGATTCTGGGGAAGTCTGGTTCTAATTGATGGTTTCCAGGGATTGATTCTAAAGCCTTGGATCATGGAAAGAAGCAACAAGAAATTGTACTCAACTCAAAACTTCTTAAGTGAATGAATCATCAAAAAATTGGTCCATTCAGAGAATAGAGTTAGGACCATTAAGTTATTGTTACAAGAGATTACATATTTGGTGATTCAGTTATATAAACTAATGTTCTTGTTGTAAATGTGATACTTTTTGCAATTCGTTTTATCATATGTATAACATTCAAAGGGACAAATATTATGCTGACTTAAGACTATGTCACAAAAATGATTTTAAAAAAAGTTTTCCTCAAAGTGCTCTCCATGTTCCAGATGAAGTGAATGAAATAAGGCAAATGCAAAGGGAAACATTTCTAAATTCCAAAGTTAAAAAGATTATGTGGAGAACACGTATGTTCATAGTGGCACTGTTTACAATAGCAAAGACCTGGAACCAACCCAAATGCCCGTCGACGATGGATTGGACAAGGAAAATGTGGCACATATACACCATGGAATACTATGCAACCATAAAAAATGATGAGTTTGTGTCCTTTGTAGGAACATGGATGAATCTGGAAACCATCATTCTCAGCAAACTGACACAAGAACAGAAAATCAAACACCACAAGTTCTCACTCATAGGCGGGTGTTGAACAATGAGAACACAGGAACACAGGGAGGGGAGCATCACACAGTGGGGTCTGCGGGGGTGGGTAAGGGAGGGATAGTGAGGGGGTGGGGAGGGATAACATGGGGAGAAATGCCAGATGTAGGTGATGGGGGGATGGAGGCAGCAAACCACATTGCCATGTGTGTACCTATGCAACAATCCTGCATGATCTGCACATGTACCCCAGAACCTAAAGTTCAATTTAAAAAAAAAAAGGAAAAAAAAGATTATGTGCAGAAAAGAATAAATTACTTACAATGGACTCTGACTGGACTTGTCATGTGCAATATCAGAAGCCAGAAAGAAAAAGGAATAGCCTCCACATATAGATCATTAAGAAAAAAGAACAGGGCTGGGCGCGGTGGCTCATGCCTGTAATCCCAGCACTTTGGGAGGCCGAGGCGGGTGGATCACAAGGTCAAGAGATCGAGACCATCCTGGTCAACATCGTGAAACCCCGTCTCTACTAAAAATACAAAAAATTAGCTGGGCATGGTGGCGCACGCCTGTAATCCCAGCTACTCAGGAGGCTGAGGCAGGAGAATTGCCTGAACCCAGGAGGTGGAGGTTGCAGTGAGCCAAGATTGCACCACTGCACTCCAGCCTGGATAACAAGAGCAAAACTTCGTCTCAAAAAAAGAAAAAAGAACAATAATTCAAGGGTCCTATATCTGAGCAAGATATCATTCACCTGTCAGAAAAAGTAAGATATTCAAGCATATATAAGGAATCAAAGGACATATCACCCCTCTATTCCATCCAAGGGCAATACTTGAGGGAAAAAAATTATAAACAAACAAGGAAAGATACAGAGCAGAAATTTCAATATGAGAAAAGCGGAAGTAAAGAGAGCAAGTGAATGATGAACTCTTGTAGATAAACAAGTTAAGGATAGATTACGAGAATGTGTCATATAAGTGCTAGATAAAGATTTTTGAAACAATGGTCACAATGTAAGGGAAATCCTAATACGTAGTAAATTAACTCAGCAACTTCAAAAAGTAAAAGCAGTCCAGGAGACTCTTGGATTGTGGGAAGTAGAACAGGGGACAGAGAAGTACAAAAGATGAAATAAAAGTATTCTAGAGTTTGCAACTGTAGAATTGGGCTCAGGGGAAGTGGGAACATAAAGTGCCTGCTTTGATGGGGAAATAATGTATCTTCATGTTAAAAAAAATCTGACTATCAAAGCAGAGAAAAGAAAGGCAATACACACCCCAAAAATGTGAACACGAATTCATTAGGAAATCATTTATTCACCTCTAGTCTCTTTTCCAGTTAAAAAATTATAGCATCAGTGTGAAATTTTATTAACAAAGTCACACTTAATTTCATTAAGAAATTTCACACATTTCTCTTGTGTGATTCCTTCTCATTGCTCTCTTGTTTGTATGATTTGGAGTTTTGGAGGAGTAGAGAGGACAGCATTTTCTTAAATTTCTAGAATAGTGGATTTTATGATTGATGATCCTTCAGCATAGGTTATAGACCCCATCAACTAAGGATGCTTCTTCTTCTAACATTTGACAGTAAAAATCATCTTTGCCTGGCTCATTTCTTCTTGTCATTTCAGTCTTAATTCAAATGTCGCCTCTCAGAGAGGCCTCTCTTACCCAGCTCATCTAGAACAGATGGTCAAACACGCTTTCCCACATTATCCTATTTGTGTAGCTCAGAACGCTGATATTATTTGATTGATCGGTTGATTTTCTCTCATTCTACTGACATGGAAACTCAGGGCAAGCAGTAACTGTGCCTTTTTGTTGCCCATCTCCAGCACCTGGAATGGTGTCTGGTCCAGAGTAGGTAGTCAACGATATTTATTAAATGAGTGAACCGTGTCTATTTCCACATCAAATTCTTGCTGTTTGTAAGAACTCACCTGTGATCATTACAGTCCTTATCTGGGCTGAGATGAGCTCTTCCAAGACAGGTTTTGTCTTTTCCTTCAATCGATTCTCCAAGATCAGCAGCCCCAGAAAAATCAGGTCTGATTCTACCTTCTCCCTGAAAATACATATATAGATGCAATGAACAGAAATAACACATTATAGCTATTTTTTTTTTTGAGATGAAGTCTGTCATCCAAGCTGGAGAACAGTGGTTCAATCGATTCTCCTGCCTCAGCTTCCCCAGTAGCTGGGATTACAGGCAACTACCACCATGCCTGGCTAATTTTTGGGTTTGTTTATTTGTTTTTGAGACAGAGTGTCACTCTGTCGCTCAGGCTGCAGTGCAGTGGTGCGATCTCGGCTAACTGCAACCTCTGCCTCCCAGGTTCAAGCAATTCTCTGCCTCAGCCTCCCAAGTAACTGGGATTACCGGTGCCCGCCGCCACGCCCAGCTAATATTTTTGTATTTTTTAGTAGAGACGGGGTTTCACCACTTTGACCAGGCAGGTCTTGAACTCCTGACCTCGTGATCCACCCACCTTAGCTTCCCAGACTGCTGGGATTACAGGCATGAGCCACCACACCCGGCCACATTATTGCTTTCTTACAGGAAGCAAAATGACAGGAAAAAGACCCCTGTCATAGTGGTTCCATTCGCTCATTCAAGCACTGTTAGTTAGGCGCCAATTATGGACCAGGAATGATGCAGAAAGAGGACAGGAGGGGACACAAAGGCTCTGGAGATGTTGACTCTAACTGAATGAAGAGGAAGTGACTGTTTGTTAAGCAAAAGCTTTGCTTTAACCTTTGCCGAAAACGAGCCGAAAGCCGACAAGGTTCTCCTCCATCTGTTGTGGCTAGCCTGATTTTCATTACCTCACCTGTTAACCACAAAGGGGAGTTTTAGTTCTGGTACAAAACATGAAAAATAAAGCAGGCAAAAGAAAAATATAATAAAATGCCAGTCCCTCCAGCAGGCAAGTCTATAATCAATATTATTTTAGCCCAAGGAGGTATGAGGTCATAATCTCAACAAACAGGCCTCTCTATTCAGGTCAAACTCATCCCTTTCTTTCTCCCCCAGTGGTAGCAATAATCTTCTGCATGAAGCGTGAATGTTTCTGCAAGAAAGTGCAGTCTTCAAGGCTCCTATCCACCCCAAGAATATTTTCAGGGACATTCTACAGAACCCAGTGCAGGGGAATACACTGAGGATCAGGAGTTCAAAGATTCTTCCATGATTTATGTATCTTAGACACAAACAGAGAACAAGACACCAGCACTGCCTAGCACTGGCTGAAACAATCGATGAAAGAGGCACGCACTAAAACTCCCTGCCTGTCTCAAGAGTGGGTCTCACATCAGCCACGGTCATGAATTGGAGTCAGTGATGCTCCCAGGAAACTGCTAACACCTCCACAGAGCTGCAGAAAGTGGACACAGTTTCAACTACTCACCTCAGAGCAGGCTTGAAAGGATGGCATTTCCCATTTCCTGAACCTGTCATTTAAATCTCTCTATGATCTGGTTCCAAACTACCTTTCCAGCTTCAGCGATCACTAAATTCTTCACCCACTCTAATTTCCAGCCAAGTTGAACCACTAGCAATGGGTTTTCTCTCTACTTAACCATCTCTAGATGTTTGCTTTAGACTGCTCTAAGACATTTTTCCTTATTTCATAGAAAAGGTTGTAATCTCCCCATGATCTGCTACTGAAACTCTCCCTATGTTTTGAGCCCCAATTCTCATGCCACTTCCCCCACAAAGGCTTCCTCAGAAATAATCGCTCCCTTAGCATATTACTTATATTTCTATGGAACTCACATTTTATTTGCCCATGTTTTTTTATCCTTGGCCTTGGCTTTCTGCTTTGTCACACCGTCTGAACTCCTTGAGGACAATCGCAACTGACTCAGTTCTGTGTTCAACACTACCCATGTGGTGTCCAACTACACAGTGAGTACTCAGCAAATAGTGTCTAGCCGAAATGCTATGAGGTCTGTTGGGGCCACATTTTGCCAGGTAACCTAGGGAAATTCCTCATTCAGAAATTCTACTGAGTTCAACAAACAGCACTGAGGAAAAGTGGAAGAGAATATGCAGAGACTATAGAGGCCTCTAACTCCAGAGATTTGACATTGAATGAGGAGGTAGAAATTAGACATGACTCATTCAGTTGAATGGAAGTCTGGGAAAGGTATTATGACAGATGTCCAAATCAGAATCCCATGGAGTCAGAGAGGAGGGTGCAATCATTTCTGGGTGCGCTGATTGGAGAAGGCTTCCTGCAGAAGATGATATTTAATCTGATGTTTGAAGGATAACTTGGTTGATGCCTGATTGTCTTACAGAGTAAACGCACCTGGTAGCAATACTGCTTAAGCATACTCTTGGAATGACCCTCTATGGCAGATGCACCTGAATGTATGTTCCAAGCTAGGAAATCTGGGAGTGGCCAACCCAGAGATTTGTTCCTTGTCTCAGAGGCAAGTCTGAACTCCCTTCCCATCTAGTGGACATGTCCCAGGCTATCAGGGGACTGAGGCCCTGAGTTGGATGAAGGTTGCCAGATGGAGGTCATTAAGGAGTCGAGTGAAAATGCTGTACAAACTGCATGATGTTTGTAGGCAGCTGTGGCTTTCCTGTGCAGAGCACCACCACTAGGCCAGTTTCCTTGTCTAGCCCACCACCACTGTAGTATAGGAATGCAGATGCATTGTCCACTTTGTTGCCACTGGGCTGTTTCTATATGTCAGGTGGTTCTCCTGCCCAGACCACTGTCGCTGGACTCTCTCCCCTGTAGGTGAGCCCCTAATAAAACCCCATGTATCATTTGCTGGCTCTGGGTCTCTTCTTCAGCCTCCTGAACTTGATGCTTTCCCTATTGAAGTGAGTGTCGGTTTGGCACAACAGGTCTCCCAATCTTTCTCATGGTCCTGCTACTCAGGCCCCAGGCCTTGGATATTTCTGCAGATGACATGACACGAGCCAACCACAAAGTGCCAGATTAGGTCAAGAAAATGGCTGCAAGGTCAAACATCTGCCATAGCAGAGCCTATGGCCTACCTTGACACTAGTATTTCTAGTTCCTCTGGCTTACAGCCTTTGCATGGTTCAAGGCACAATAATCAAGAGACTGGAGTTCTAATCTCAGGCCTACCCCTCCCTTGCTGTGTGAGAATGAGTACATCACATTTTTTGTCTGGTAATCAAGTTCATCTTTGCATCTCCAAAGTCTCTGCTAGCTCTAACATTACATGAGTCTTCCCTCATGAGCATGTGGTCTGAACCAAAAAATTTAAAAGGAGCAATTCATTAAGGGGTCTTAAGCTCCACAGCTTGAAATGGCATTCTATCTCTTCTGGCTTCCTGCACAGACCTTATGCCTCCTCCCGAAGTATGTAAAATAATAAAGAACAGTAAGTGTAACATATAGAAAGCATTGTCATCCCTGTGATTACATTTCATGTTTTTAAAATCCATGTGACTTTTGAAGGATGAAATATGCATAAAGTGGGCCAATGGCCTTTGAAGAGATTATAATATCAACACTGGAGCACCATAAGTAACGACACACACATACACACAAACCCAAAACAACAGCAAGAATGTTTCATCCTAATCAGGAATTCACAAAGGATAATTAAATTAATTTAGCTATGTGTATGGATATGCATAGTGGTGATGTGCTTTTAAGACAGGAGAGGCAAATTGATGACCTATGATCAAATCCTATTAGAGAATTTGTGATTTGTGTTTAGATCATACAAGATTTTAAAAAGTTAAAGATCAAATCCTATTAGAGAATTTGTGATTTGTGTTTAGATCATACAAGATTTTAAAAAGTTAAACTACCTTTAACCAGGACATGTACTCTCCTGTGTACCACAGCCCTCACTATTCCCCATTGCTCATGTGTCTCCACAGGATGTGCTTTCTTATATGCATGCATTTCAAAACTATGAATTCGCAACTTGTAAATATGCAAATATCATATTATAACAATTAGAAGCAGCAGCATGGTAGCCAGAATCTTGCTATAGCCTTTGCCAACAGCCCTTCAGGAAACTAAGTTCAATTCCCAATTCTGCTCTGTCCCTTCCCTTCCCTGGACCCAAGTTTCCTCTCCGTCAAAATGGGATATCCCATCTCAAAGTTTACTTTTAGCTCCCTCACTTGAGTGACCCTGAACTAAGTTGATCAAATTACAATAAATATGCAGGGTTGTAGTAGCCAAAGTTTCAGGGGTCACATTAAACTGGCCCCTGGGGAGAGTGGTCCACAAGCCCAGGAACCGCTTCCCACTCTGGGCCTCATTTTATCCATTCACAAAGTGAGAGGGGTGGGTCACAGCAAGGTGGGTCACAGCAAGGACAGTACTCCCTCTAGAGGACATTGTGGAATTTTCTTTTCTTTTCTTTTTTGGAATCTACGCAAGACTGTCTGCAAAGACCAATGCATAATGAATAATTATCCTGCATCCCACATGTCTTTTGAATATCTTACTGGACATTCATGGACACTGAAAAAATTACTGTATTTCCCTAAGTCATTTTAGGCTTATACTGCATATATTTTACTATTATTATATTATTATATACTGTACTATTATGGCATATATAATATTACTATATTATATTAAACAATCACAAAATTGTTTATTAAAATTTCACTAGCTTTCCCCCCGTTTACATGTCTTACATATTAACAAAAAGTATTTTTCACATTTATCATATTCTGTTGCATTTTGTAGAATTGTAACTACCTGTACTACGTAAATTGGGAGGAGACTGTACTGTTTCCTCCAGAGTTTTACCAAGACTTGTTAGCCACTTCACAGTCACCTCCCTGGCAGCAAGACTGAGGTATTTGAGCCTGCAATACATAACACACTTGTGTCAGTCTGAATTTGCAGATGCTGCAGCCTCAATTATTCTATACACAGGTACAAGCAACTTATTGCTTCATTTTGTTTTAGTAAAGTCAGCTGAGCATTTATTAAACTATCACTTTTGTGAATCATTATATCTTTTGCTTTTATTTTTACTATATAATAGGGCATTATATATTTTACAAAGAACATGGGTAGATAATGTTATATGTGAACTTTATTTTAGAATACTAAGAGTTACAACATATGGTTACAAGAGAGTGTTGAGTCTGATTAGATTGAAACAAAGACGTTAGACTTTCCAAATGTAAAATCCTGAATTTAAAAATGAGCCTGGATTAGCTCCATAACAGTATAACTGGGGTGGCTGACATTAAGAGTTAGAAATGACACGAAAGATGAAATAAACATGATAGCTGAAAAAAGTGGAATTTTAAAAAGTAAAATAAAATTGAACTCATAAATACTGAAGTTTTTTAAATCTGTTAAGCATCTCTATTCTAATTTTAAAATATAAAATTTAATCTATAGATTAAAATCTTTCTCTAGTATGGCACCTCAGAAGTTTTCCTTTTTAGTAGACGTTACTAAGATTATATCATCTAAGCTGTATTTATTTGTTTCATTAGGCTGTGTATTTCCTATCAGAAATTATTTCAGTGAAATGTTATGTTTTGTAACTCCCAACCAATCCACCAACTATAATTTTTTTAATGAGGGGCATGACCACAATTTTGTGGTCTTGAAATGCTGATTATACTCCTATAATCTGTTTTCAAAAAGCTGTGAAAATCATACCATATTTTACATCTTGTATGACTGTTTACTCATAAAAATCTCCCATTCAGAATTCACATTATCTTTGTGATTTAAGTAGGGCAGGGATTATTATATCCCTGCTTACCAATGTTTGGAGACACGCTATGCACACAAATAAGCTACAGTGCTCTGTCCACCACCTAGAACCCCTGACAGAGTCCATCGCAGTCTAATGCACTTGCCATTCCAATCTGGCACATCTTTCCATCAAACCACTCTGCTTTATCAAAACCATTCCCATTTACCTCGCCAAGGCAGTGGTGTGGTGGTCATTTTCCAGCTTCTTGTAGGCCAGTGCAATGACTCGAAAGCCCTGTGTCGTGTAAATCTGAAGTTCACTAACAAAACTAGTTGGTACTGTTTAGAAAGTAACACAGGGTTAGTATGCAGCATTTACTTAGGCAGTACTGGCAAAGAAATTCTTTACAAACATCCAACTTTTTCCCAAGGGAAAAAACACACTTCTACAAAAATATGTAAACAAGTCAGTGGAAATTCTAAACATAACTACGCTGTCAGGGTGGACGTACTCAGATCTAGTGAAGCTAAAATGAAAAGGAAGCATTTGAAACAAGAAAAAAAAAGGGAAAGTGTAGAATTATTTTTGCTTCGGTTTAACCAACAAACATTTATTAAGAGTTTACTATCTGCCAGGCATTGGCTATGCAGAGATTAAATCACAGGCTCTCCACCCAGAAATAAGATTTCATACCTACAACTATCTGATCTTTGACAAACCTGACAAAAGCAAGCATGGGGAAATGTTTCCCTATTCAATAAACGGTGCTGGAATAACTGGCTAGCCATATCCAGAAGATTGAAACGGGACCCCTTTCTTACACCATCTACAAAAATTAACTCAACGTGGTTTAAAGACTTTTAAAACCTAAAACTCTAAAAACCTGGAAGGCAGCCTAGGCAATACCATTCTGGATATAGGCACAGGCAAAGATTTCACAATGAAGATGCCAAAAGCAATTACCACAAAAGCCAACATTGACAAATGGATCCAATTAAACTAAAGGGCTTCTTGCACAGTGAAAGAAACTATCAACAGGGTAAATAAACAACCTACAGAACAGGAGAACAGTTTTGCAAACTAGGCATCTGACAAAGGTCTAATATCCAGCAACTATGAGGAACTTGAAGAAAATTTACAAGAAGAAAAAAAACAGCCTCATTAAAAAGTGGGTAAAGGACATCAACACTTTTCAAAAGAAAACATACACGAAACCAACTATCACGTGGGGGAAAAAACAAGCTTAACATCACTGATCATTAAAGAAATGCAAATCAAAACCCCAATGCGTTACCATCTCAAACCAGTCAGAATGGTGATTATTAAAAAGTCAAAAAATGACAGATGCTGGTGAGATTGTGGAGAAAAAGAAGTACTTATACACTGTTGGTGGGAGTGTGGGAGTGTAAATTAGTTAAACCACTGTGGAAGAGAATGCAGTGATACCTCAAAGTCCTAAAGAAAGAAACACCATTCGGCCCAGCAATCCCATTACTGAGTATATACCCAAAGTCATGTAAACCATTCTATTATAAAGATGCACATGCACATATACGCTTATTGCAGCACCATTCACAATAGCAAAGACATGGAATCAACCTAAATGCCCATCAATAGTAGACTGGATAAAGAAAACATGCTATATATACATGATGGAATACTATGCAGCCATAAAAGAGAACAAGATCATGTTCTTTGCGGGGACCTGGATGGAGATGGAGACCATTATCCTTAGCAAACTAACATAGGAATAAAAAGCCAAAAATCACATGTTCTCACTTATATATGGGAGTTAAATAATAAGAACACATGGACATATAGAGGGGAACACCACACACTGGGGCTTATTGGTGGGCCAAGGGTGGGAGGAGGGAGAGAATCAGGAAAAATAAGTAATGGGTACTAGGCTTAATGCCTGGACAATGAAGTAACCTCAAGAAATCCCCGTGACACAAGTTTACCAACATAACAAACCTGCAAATGTACCACTGAACTTAAAATATAAGTTAAAAAAACAATGAAATTGAAAAAAACTCACAAGTTCTGCTCTAAGGATTTCTGTCTAATTGAGTTACATTCCGCAGATGAGATTATTGCTATGATCCAGGCCACTGCAGCATGCTTCGGAAAGCGTTTGGTGGTGTATATACCAGCCTAGGAGGAGGTGGTTCCATAAAGGAAGGTTCTGGGGCTGAGCAAGAATCATGTGCTTAGGCATGGAGTCATGAGAGTAAGCTGTGAAGAATTAGTTCAGTTCAGGAAAAGTACAGGATGAGGAGTGGTAAGGCCCATCTGGAAAGTTCACTGGGAGTTCAAACCCGAAAGCCTTATATATGATCCTAAAGAAAGCTGAGATCATACTGGAGCCTATGAGAGCAACTAAAAGAATCAGTTTTTTTTGCAAAAAATCTGGTCACAGTACAGAGGGCAAATCAGAGTTGAGGAGACTGAAGGCAGAGGGTCAATCCACCAAATATTGAAGTGATGAAGGATGATGAAGTCCTGAGCAGATGCAGTAAAGGACCATGGATTAGCAACTGATGAGACAGGGGCACTAAGAGTGAGCAAGGAATCAGGGATGACACCTAAACGGGATGGGTGAGGGGGACGGTGGTATACCATTCACCAAAATAGAAAACTGGGAAATACAGGAAATGAGAAAGACAAGCTTTGTTTTCATATTGAATTTGGAATGCCAAAGAGTCACCCAATCGATGATGACCCACGGGCAGCTGGATTCATAGATCAAATGCTGTAGGAGCATATTTATCTGGAGGTACAGATTTGCCGGTGTAATCCAAGTCAAGTTACAGACCTGTCTCAGGTTGGCAAAAGCTGGCCACCCTCTCTGGTGCACCTTTCATGAATGCCAGTCGGTCACCTCCGATCTCTTGGACAATGACTGTCATCCTTTGCAGTGCTGATGAGAATGGGAACTGATGCAGGATTGCAATTCCTTCCACTGGGACCTGGTTGAGGGATGGGGGAAAAGAGGCACATGCTGATATAGCTTCTAGCTACTGGGAATCAACCACTCCCTCCTTAATCTTTATTTTAGCAAATAAGGGGGAAGGTCTCACCCATTTTTCACACCCGAAATTCAAAGACATGTCTGTAACCTTTCAAAAATTGGGGGCCAGAAGAGTTTGTCTTTGAGTTTGGGTGTTGTGGGATGAAGAGCAAGCAAGGCTTACCTGGCTGGCTGTCCTGCAGGGCTTAACTACCATGGCATTTGCCGGCACTCCCTTCATGTGGACATCGTCCCCAGAAAAAGCCATTTCCTATTTCACAAATAGGATATTTCATTGCAGACATTTATTTATTGTTTGCCCACTGGTGCTATGCTCAAACCCTCCCCTTGAAAAAATTCTCAGACCACCTCAATCTGTTCTCCGTGTCTCTTCCCTCAGAGGTGAATCAGATTTATTCCGCCACACACACACAAAATAATGCATTGAAAACACTGCACAACTTGAAGGGCAGACAGTTTTGAATTATTCATGCAATTTATCTTCTTTTCTCTGTTTGAATGTGCTGTATAAAGGCTCGTGCTCCATTTCTGAAGAACCTAACTTGAAAGTCATGAGCACAAAGGGCCAGACTTCTTTTGTGTGAAGTAAGCACCTTTCTGTCATTCTTTTCCTGCACTTCACTGCTCTTCCTGCTCTTGCATGTCTGTCTAATTTGGATGGATGGTCCTCAGGGCAGGGGTGGGGCAGGGCAGAGACTGTGATATACATGGTTAATAATCAGTAATTGCTATAATAATGACCCTAAAGTGTACTGAAAGCGACCTTTAACCCAAAGACAACGCAGTGCTTTGTAATCATCTCATTGAGTGGCTGACAAGATCTCAGAGAGGAAACTGCAATCCCTATTTAAAGACATGGAATCAGTAACCCAGAAAAGATGGGGGATTGGCAAAGTTACAGTAGATTGCTATGAAATAACGCTCCAAGCGATTTGGAAGGGACCCTGAAAACTGTCTCTTCCAGTGGTGCTCCCAGTGTGCCACCAGAGGCTAGAGCTGTGTGCAGCTCAGGGAGAAAGGAAGGGAATATAGCTAAGTAGTTGGGGATGCATGTCCCCTAATCCTCATCTTTAGTCCCCACCTTTTATTTCAAGTGGAGCAACTCCAGCTATTTAGTCTTTAGAGTGTTTCTGAAGACTGTTTCCTTTTACGAAAAGTTTCCAGATTTTTTTGTCTTGTTTTGTGTTATGTGAACACTACTGGTCTAATTCAGCTTCATTTTATGGTCATGAGAGCCAAGGCCCCAACATGAGAGATACCTAATGGGATTCAGCAGTCAGTCAGAGCAGAGCCAAAACTAGAGTCAGAAAAGCCAGATTTCTGAACTACACTGTTGGCTCGTAAATCTAGTTTAGAGTCTCAACAAAAGCTCTTCGATGGTTTTCCTTTTTGCTGTTTCCAGTCTCAGAAATAAAATCAATACTAAAGTAATAGGAATAAGACTTATAGTCAACAATGACTATGAGTTATCCTGAGCACTAGAGAAAGCAATGTTTTCTAATCCCCATATTCTGGAAAACCTCTGAAACCAGACAATGCTCAGAGAACAGTACAGAGAGATGAGAAATAATTACATAATAATTACAATTATATGAATATGATTGAAACTTTAATATTTGCCAGGCACGGCACCAAGGATTTTTGTAATGTACCATCTCATTTAATCCTCACAATAATCTTATTATGTAGATGCTATTATTAGCTTCATTGTACAGATGAGGAAACCAGGCTTAGATTAGTTTGCCCATTGCTACCATATGTACTCCACACTGGAAACCACACCTTCTATAAGAATTAGATAGCTCTGACACCGCCTATGCTGCTCTGGCATTGAAGAAGCTTCTTACATTCTCTGAAGGGCAGAGGCTTACCCAGGTGGTGGCTTCAAACATTTTGAGGTCCAGAGGGTCTCCCTGGATGGTCCCATCAAGAAGGATCAGAGAGTGGCAGCTGGCCATCGCTGCACACAGTGGGCCCCATGGCAAAGCCTGGCCCGAGGCAAAGCTGTGAACCTCCTGGAAGCTTACAAAGAAAAGGAAATGGGTTTCCATTCTATCTCCTCATGCCCAAACAGAGCAACTTGGAGGTGCACAAATATCTTTATAAAAAATAAGGTAATATGCTTTGTTGTATTAATAGCCACTCTCCAATCCTCCCACGTTAATAGTGCTTCATTCAGCCCAGGAGGGTCACTGAGTATGTGAAACGTCTCTGAGGTTTGTTTTTGGTTTTATTTGATACAGGGTCTCACCCTATAACTCTGTCACCCAGGCTGGAGGAGGGCAGTGGCATGATCTCGGTTGACTGCAACCTCTGCCTCAGGATATTCAAGTGATTCTCCTGCCTCAGCCTCCCGAGTAGCAGGAATTACAGGCATACACTGCCATGCCCAGATAATTTTTTTGTATTTTTAGCAGAGATAGGGTTTCACCATGTTGGCCAGGCTGATCTTGAACTCCCAACCTCAGGTAATCCACCTGCCTCACCCTCCCAAAGTGCTGGTGTTACCAGTGTGAGCCACTGTGCCCAGCTAAAAACATTTTTCAAAAGCACATTACATCCCCCTCTTCCACTCTGGCCTCTTGTGTCCATATTCCAAACATCAACCCCTTCATTTCCTGTAGAAAGTGGTATCATCTAAAAATCTATTAAAATGCAATTCAAATGTTATATACAAGGTTCTTTCACTAATTCAGATGGAGGCCGTTAAATTCAGCTTTGGCGTCACAAGAACAAAGTCCTCTGCAACTTCATTACTCAGCCCCTTCTGAAATGTGCAGCACCGTAGTTGCTTCTCAAAACAGCTTATCCTATTTGGAGGACGTCTGAATGGTGGAAGTTCCATCCTACATTGGGGCAAAATCTGCTTCTTGGATCCATTGAGAATCTACTCGCTCCCCTTCCTCCACATGCCAGCTTCTTTCAAACTTGTGGATCAGCTCTGCCGACCCCTTTACCCTCCCTCTGGTGTTGCACAGGTACCTCTAGCTGTTCCTCTAATAACAGTTTTATCAGGCCTCCCTCTCACCTTCCTTATTCCTCTTTTTTGGAAGAGTTCTTATTTGTCATAGTTTGTCTTGAAATGTGGTCTCCAGGATCAATTACTTTTGATAATATGGACACTGCATTTATTTACAGGTAATCTTAAATTGCTCTAGCCCTTTGTTTTGAAAGCAAGCATATTGCAATGTTAACTCACAATTCAGCCACATTGCTTCCTGGCTTTTGCATTCAAGCTTCCTTTTGTCACACTAAAAGTTCAAAAATATCCTGGCTTCATATTGGCCCTGTTAGTTATATTCATTGTCATGTGTTAAAAGATTAACTCATCTTGGTGGTTTACTACATGCCCCGTGATATTTTCGTAAATATCTAAAAGGAAGAGACCACCAGCAGTAATAGTTAACACAGAAACTTAATAAGCTCACACTGAAAAGTAAAACACATATAAGAAAAACAATCTTATTTTTATTTCTATTTTTTTGAGACAGAATCTCACTCTGTAGCCAGGCTGCAGTGCAATGGTGGAATCTCAGCTCACTGAAATCTGGGTTCAAGCAATTTCCCTGCCTCAGCCTCCCAAGGAGCTGGGACTACAGGCATGTACCACCATGCCCAGCTAATTTTTTTTTTTTTTTTTGTATTTTAGTAGAGACGGGTGTTTTTACTATGAGATGTACACTGTCACCAGTCTGTAATTCCAAGTATATAATTCTGCATTCCAGAAGACTGGACCAGACTCTGGTTACAGCAGATAAATAAAGCTCTCTAGCATTCCTGTCTGTGCATTTTTATCTGAGTATTTCTGGTTTATCGATCCCTAATAGCCTTTAAGAATTCTTAAAGTATCTGGCACAACAATCAGGGCTTTTGGGAAAACATAAGAAATATCAGAGATGAGCTCCCCTTTAACAAGAAGGTATTTAATAGCTTCTAAGTCAGGAGCTCACTTCTTGCCTAGAATTAATTCTGTTTTGTCTCATTTTGTTAATTAAGTTTGCCATTTTTTATTTTAAATTGTTTTAATCATTTGAATTCAACTTTGATCTTTAGGAATGAAGGAAGGAAGAGAGGAAGGAAGGGAGGAAGGGAGAGAGAAAGGAGGGAGAAAGGAGGGAGGGAGGGAATCGAAGGAAGAAAGGAGGGAAGGAGGGAATGGAGGAAAGAAAGGAGGGAGGGAGGGAAGAAAGGAGGGAGGAAGGGAAGAAAGGAGGGAAAGAGGCAAGCCTAAAGTAGGTAAATGAATCATTTACCTAAACATTGTATCAATTGTTATTTCTTAAATGTAACAAGGCACTTTTAGAAACAGAAAGTTTCCAAAGTTTTAGGAATAATATGGTGTCAATTCAATAAGTAGAACATTCAAAAAGCAGAACATATTGAGTTCATTTTAGATGAGCAATTACTGTGCACCTACTATTTGAGCCTGGTACAGTGCTACAGTACTAAGGATGCTCTCAAGATGCTCACATGTTTGATTAAATGCACACATATTTTGTAGAAGCTGAAACAAAATCACTAATGAACCATGAGAAAAAGTATATACCCAAATCTATCCTCTAGGAAAAATGAAAAGAACTTTAGAGTTTAACACTTTAAGAGGCTTCTTCTGTAGACTAAAGTGGTTAGAAGCATAGGATCACTTTTTAAATCCAGGAATTAGACTTGTTTCTAAATAGTATTTTAATATGACAATTATTAAACTATGTGTAATTAACATATTTTATGGATAAATTGCTTGTCATCTGGTATAATGCAAAAGAACCACAATGAACCTCGCATATACAAAATGCTCTGTGATTTAAGTTAAAAGTGTTAGAGGAAAGAACTTTTATTTTCAAACAAAACATAAATGACAAGTGCATCACGTTTCATGTTCTGATCCCACTGGAGTTCCTAGGGAGGAGAAAAAGCAGGTAGAGACACAAACTCAAACATGGCCACAAGAGGGCCACAGGAGAGGGATGTGCAAATCTTCATCACACTGTGCTGAAAACTGCCAAAACAGTGTCTTTTCTTGCCAGGAAGGAGGAGTTTCAGCCAGGTATGGTGGCTCATGCATGTAATCCTAACACTTCAGGAGGCTGAGGCGGGCAGATCACCTGAGGTCAGGAGTTCGAGACCAGCCTGGCCAACATAGTGAAACCCTGTCTCTACTAAAAATACAAATATTACCTGAGTGTGGTGGCACACATCTGTAATCCCAGCTACTTGGGAGGCTGAGGCAGGAGAATTGCAGGAACCTGGGAGGTGAAGGTTGCAATGAGCCAAGAAAGTGCCATTCCAAGAAAGTGCCATTGCACTCCAGCCTGGGCAACAAGAGCGAAACTCAAAAGAAAGAGAGAAAGGAGAGAGAGAGAGAGAGAGAGGAAAAAAGCTCCATCTCAAAAAAAGAAAGGAAAGAAAGAGAGAGAGAGAGAAAGAAAGGAGTTTCCAGCAACCAGAAAGTAGAGTTCTCAAAATTAGAATACCAAGAAAAATGGGTATGCTTGCTACAGTTCTACAAATGTTCCTCTTTCTGAAATTCAGGGTACAAAAGTAAATGCAGGGTTTTTCCTCCTCTTTCACATCAAGAGTCTACAGCTTGTACAAAGAATGTTACTTCCTTAAAGGACAATGTCCTGGTAATGTCTAAATTACTTATATTGGGTCAACTTCATGCTGGAAGCAAATTACATTTTAGCAAGGATTTGAATGCAGTGTCAAAACTTCATCTTCTGCATTTGTGAGTGGCATGGAACTGGGCCTGGGAATGGGGGAAAATGTGCATTTTTACTGAGGTTTTGAAGAATTCAAGAAGATAAATTAAAAGAAAATACTTTGGTAATCATTGTTCACCAAAGTCCAAATGTCTCCATTAGTAGTTTCAAGAGAAAACATGGGATTTTGGAAAAAGAGACACTAGGATGAATTTAGTCCAAGGTACTCACCCGTTCCTATCACAGGACACAACTCCCCAGAGGTCCAAGCCATCCTTTGTTAAGGTGCCTGTCTAAACAGAAACAAATACTCTGTTTACTCTGAAGACCCAGGCCAGGTGCAGTAATCCCAGCACTAGGGAGGCTGAGGCAGGAGGATCACTTGAGCTCAGGAGTTTGAGACCAGCCTGGGCAACATAGCGAGACTGCCTCCCTACTTAAAAAAAAAAATTACAGTGGTCTCATAGTAAAGACACCATAGTATAGACAAATAATGTCTTTTTTAATGGGAAAATACTTCACAAACATATTAACAGGATCAATACTTCAAGGAGGTGCACCATGGGTGGGTCTCTAGAGTGCCTGGTGGAAGCATTGATGAACTCTTGCCAGTTGTCTGACAAGCTGGCACTTAATCTTTTCAAACTTTCCTGTCCCCCATAACAACAACAACAAAAGCACTGTCTTCCTTACAACTTCAGAGGATTGTTTTGAGGCTCTAATGGTAGACTGAATGGATGGGAAAGTCCTCGATAAGCCTATAAGAGCTATAAAATGGGAGAGTCCTAGTTTCATAGCAGAAATTTAAAATATGTCATTAAAATAAATAATATAGTAGAATTTTTACCTACAGGGCACTGTGTGTGAAAAGACTCAAAAGAAATGGTTTGCTATTTGATACCCATTTGGTTAAAAGAAAAAGATGTCGGTATTTCTCTCAGTGCAATGTAATGGTTAAGAGTTCAGGTTAGGTTTAAACACCAGTTATCTGATGACAGCAAATTACTCAATTCCTTTAAATATCAGAACCCTTATCTGTAACATGGTCATAATCTCAGAGAGTTGTGGTGAAGATTAGATGGGGTAACACAAAGTGTTTTATTTAATATCTAGCATACAGGAAGAGCTGATAATAATCATAATTACTCATAATTATTGCTCACTTTTTATTCAAATTCAGGTCACAATGATCTCTCCCATCCTGTTTCTCTTTCCAAGTCCAAGGATATAATCTCAAAAATAGAATGCCACTTCTTACATTGCTAGTTTGATCACAGAATAATACAAAAATGGTAGCAACAGTCATGTTGACTTTCTGCTCTTGGTAGATCTTTCTGATATTCCAGTAATTATAGAATACAGCCCTGATCCCACTAATTCTCAATTATCAAAACCTTCAGTGTACTGTCAAATGAATGTAGTTTCAGTTTGGGAAAATACAAGAAGTTCTCAAAGTGAATAGTAATGATGGTTACAGAACAGTGAGAATGTACTTAACACCAGCAAACAGTGTACTTAAAAATGGTTAAAATGGTAAATTTTACGTTAAGTGTATTTTACCACATTTAAAAAGTGAATTTTAAAAAAAAAGTTAACAATAGCAACAAAAGCTTCAAGAACTCTCCACTCCTTAAAATATATGTAAACAATTTCTTAGCCAGACAGTCAAGGTCCACAGATAGCCTCTCCCATTACCAACATCCTGCTCTAGTGAAAACCACACTATTTTCCTTTCTTAACTCCATGCTTTGACTCATGCTCACCTGCTCCCAGTGCCCTGAAAGGCATTTCCATCTTATCCTCTTACAACTCCCACCTTCACCCCAGCATATGTGTGTAGAGAGTAAATAAATATAATAAAGAGATGATAGACTAAGAGGCTGGTTGCAAATAACTGACAAATAATCAGTAATTTTAAGCAATAAACTACAAATGGGAAAATACAGTAGAAGTTTGATAGGAGTCTCATAGTAAGGCACAGTTTAATAAACTCTTCCTTTTGTATCATTCATTCAATCAATATTTATTGCACACTAACTATATGCCAGGCAATATTCTTAGCATTCAGGATACAGCAGTGAATAGTAAAGGTTTTTAATTTTGTTCTTTGTATGAAGGCTTTGACTACAGAGAAACAGGACGCTATTTTAATTGTTTTCACAAAATATTAAAGCTGGAAGGACCCAAAAAGATTCTCCTATTTAGTACCCATTTATCCTCTAAACCTTAGACTCTGCGAGCTCAAGAGACACATCTTTCCCAGATCATGCATCTAACCAGGGATAAAATGAAGACAGGCACCCACATTCCATGTCTCCTGCCTTGCAAGAGGGTAAAAGTACATAGACATGATGACAGCAATGGTAAAAATGACGAGAAGAATAAAGATGAAACACACATACCTTGTCAAAGCAAACAAGGTTTAACTGTCCACATACGTTGATCCTCTGGGGGCTAATGCAGAAGATGCCTCTCTTCTTCAGCCTCCTCTGGGCATAGATAATGCCTGTGGTCAGAGCAGCAGGTAGAGCAGGAGGAACCGCTATTGTGATGACATCAAGGGCTTTCTTCACCACCTCCTCTGGAGGTTCCTGGACAATAGTAATTCTTTAACTGTTAGAGGCAAATCACTGGTGAACAGCATATGACTCTTTTCCTTCTTTTTGTTTACTTCCTTAGGTCAAATTTCAAGAAATGATGTCAGTGAGTTAAAGGCATGACCATGTTTATAGCTCTCAATATCTTTTGCCAAACAGCAGTTTCAAAAAGCATGTGATTTATATTGTTACTAACAGAGAATAACGTACTAGTCTGTCATGACCTCACCAAAATTGGGTATCTGATTTTATTTAAAATCCTTCACTCAATACCTATAAAAAGGCTACTTTATTGAAATAAATATATTCTCAGATATTCTCAGGTTAAGATTGTAAGAAATGGCATTCTATTAATGAGATTATATCCTTGGACTTGGAAAAAGAAGCAGGAGTGGAAGAGATAATTGTGACCTGAATTTGAATAAAAAATGAGCAATAATTATAAGTAACTCTGATTATTATTAGCTTTTACTGTATGCTAGACTTAAATGAAAAACTTTATGTTATCCCATTTAATCTTTACCACAACTTTCTGAGATAATGAGCATGTTACAGATAACAGCTCTGATATTAAGAGGTCACACAACTGGTGTTTAAACCTAACCTGAACTCTTAACCATCATATCGCACTGAGAATATCTGAGAATAAATATATTTTCAGATTGAAAAGTAAAAATGGTATAAAGCGTGAGAAAAGATAAATATATTGATGTATGAATAAATAAACTGCTTTATCCCACTATCCCATGAAATCTGTTTGTTATTAGGGAACTTAGTGATCAATTGCTTATTGGGATCTGAAAGTCTATATACAGGTTTCAGTTCTTGACTTTATTTCCCAGGTTTGTAAACCACATCCTAGATCAAGGCCAACAGGTACAGTACAAAATATATATAGATGAGTATGTATGCATTCAGTAAAAGAGCAAAGACAGCTTACCCCGCTAAGCACATAGACACACAGAGTATAGATCATCCCAATGGTGGCTATTCCTACAAGGCACAGGAGGAACCTGATAGCGTCCCTGTACAACTTAAAATTCATTGGCTTGGGGTAGAGAATGGATCTCACAAGGTCTCCCTTTGCCGTGTTGAATCCTGCAACAACAAACACACATCCCACACTCTCAGGATGACCAATACTACTGCTAGTGCTCTTCCAAACCTCAACACTGCCTTTGTTTTTCTCTATTCATATTTAAACAGTGGTTAAGCTCAAAGGCAACTGAAAGATAATTAGAAAAATACATAAATGCTAGCATGGAATTATCTGTCTCAGAGCCCGGTACTCTCTCTGGCCTTCCTTCCCTCTACTTCCCATTTCAATGAGTCCCAGAGATAGGAAACCACCATTCTGGGTGCTCAGCACAGCTTTGCCAAATGTAATTTTATTTCAGGAAAATGACTCAAATGTGTGCACACACAGGCAGTCACTTGAATTAAAATTAAGGAGTCTAGTAAATACTGGTGGACTCACTTTTCTAATACTTGCAAGGTTAAATTTTCAGTTTCTAGCCCAGCCTAGAAAGAACTTGGGATTCAGGATTAGAAGACCTGAGTTCTAGGTCCAGCTCTGTCTATTGCTGGCCATGGTATTTTTAAAAGTTCATTTGAATTGTGTGGCCTCAGCCTTTTCCTGGACACCGTAGAAACAGTAAGTATCTCTGCTCTGCTTGTTTGACATGTGGAAATAGTTTATATAAAATAATTATTGTAAATATTGTATATATTATATATGTGCAAAGCACATATATAATAATTATTGTTACCTATACTATCATTTTTGACTAACAGGCGTATGCCGTAGTTCAATTAATATTGGAAAAATATGGATTTATAAATATTTAGTTTGTTTTGTACCAGTAAGTAATACTTCTCCTTACTCATGGGTACAAAAAAAAAAACCATAGAAAGAATGATAAGATCTACTATTTGATAGCACAAAGGGTGACTATAGTCAATAATAACTTAGTTGCATATTTTAAAATAACTTAAAAGGTATAATTGGATTGTTTGTAACTCAAAGAATAAAGGCTTGAGGGGATAGATACTCCATTCTCCATAACACGTTTATTTCACATTGCAGACCTGTGTCAAAACATCTCATGTATCCCATAAATATATACAGCTTACTATATACCCACAAAAATTAAAAATAAAAAGATAGGATTATAAAGAAAAAAGTCTTCTCCTTACCTAATTAATTTAAGGCACTATATACCCACAAAAATTAAAAATAAAAAGATAGGATTATAAAGAAAAAAAGTCTTCTCCTTACCTAATAAATTTAAGGCACTAGACAAACCAGGCAAAAATATCATTAAAAACAATACATAGGAGGCGATGCTAACCAGTCTGCAGCACCACTGCTCTCACCGTCCCAGAGCAAGCTGCCTTGGCCTGGATAATCTCTGTTCCACAGAAGAGAACATGCCGTTTGTAATCCGCTTCACTCTGCGTTTTCCAGGGCACAGAGCTATCCATCTTGGGTAACGGAGTTTTAGTGACTGGAATACATTCTCCTACAGAAAACAAGCATCTTGTTTTGTGAGGTAGGATGCCTTCCCTCATTTAAATCATGCCTGCACCCACTCATCATACAACAGACATTTTTTTGTGAGCCTACCATGTGGCAGAGACAACCCTAGGTATTGGGGATACAAGCATAAACAGTTCTTATTTTTGAGAGGTCTGTAGTTTAGAGTAGGAGATGGATATATAAACAAATAAGTATAATACAGTATTATAAATACTATGGGTACTGTAAATCAAACATGAATGTCAAAATAGCTGGAAATAACTATTTAGGGAACCACTATAGTGCAGTCCAGAATGTAGAGTGTGGAGAATAAAGGGCCATGAGAGCTATGTAGGAGCCAAAGCATGGAGAGTCCTGAGTGTCCACACGTATATCTAAAGGCACTGGTGACTGAAGGAGGATGCGGAGAGATTCAACCACTTTAATCATGGGAGTAATAGCATATTTAAGTACAGAGCGAACACTCTGGCCACAGCACAGGGAATAAATCAAAGTCGGGTAAGGTTGGAGGCTGGATATCCAATTGAAAAATAATCACAGGAATCCTAGTTGCAAGAGATGAGGTCTGAACTATGACAGCTGGCAGTGGGGATAGAAAGGAAGCACTGCATTCAGGAAACAGGAAGTGGGGCTGGGTGCAGTGGCTCACACCTTTAATGCCAGTGCCTTGGGAGGCAGAGGCAGGCAGATCGCTTGAGCCCAGGAGTTCAAGACCAGCCTGGACAACATGGCAAAACCCTGACTTTTCTAAAAATGCAGAACTAGGCAAGTGTGGTGGCATGTGCCTGTCATCTTAGTTACTCTGGCGGCTGAAGCATGAGAATTACTTGAGCCTGGCAGGTGGAGGTTGCAGTGAGCAGAAATCATACCACTGCACTGCAACCTGGACAAGAGAGTGACACTCTGTCTCAGAAAAGGAAAAAAATAAGGAATTAAGGAGCTACAAAACTTGAGAGAATGTTTGTATTGGCAGGTCACAGGGACAGAGAAATTTACAATGCCTTGCTAGTTACTGACTTGGGAGAATAAGCAGAGGGCAACATTTTCCCTCAAAATAGGGATTATAGGAGGAGAGAAAGAATTGTCTTTTGGCCACTATGAGTTGAAGTTGCCTTGAAGAGTGACCATGTTGAGATGACTTGTTGGCAGTTTGAGATTTATTTGGATTTGAAGCTCAAATGAGAGGGCTGGACTAGAGATATTTAGCCAGAGCTCATCAGCTTCTAGATGATAATTAAAGCCACAGAGGCAGACGAGGTTACTTAGAGACCATGTATAGGGTGAAAAGAGGAAAGGACAAGGATGTAGCCATGAGCAGCACCAACAATTCAGGAGATTGAGGAAGAGGAAGAGCAGAATAAACTGAATGGGTATATTCAGTGGTAGAAGAATTTGGAGGAGAGAATTATCTTAGAAAGTTATAGAGGAGAGAGTTTTCAGAAAGAGATCTGGTTGGAATAGTCAAATGCAACAGAGAGGACAATAAGTTGAGAAATCTAAATAATCAGCCCAGGTGCAGTGGCTCATGCCTGTAATCCCAGAACTTTGAGAGGCCCAGGAGGGCAGATCACCTGAGGTCAGGAGTTCAAGACCAGCCTGGTCGACATGGTGAAACCCCATCTCTACTAAAAACACAAAAATTAGCCAGGCATGGTGGCACATACCTGTAATCCCAGATACCTGGGAGGCTGAGATGAGAGGATCACTTTAACCTGGGAGACAGAGTTTGCAGTGAACAGAGATCACACCACTGTACTCCAATCTGGGCAACAGAGTGAGTGAGACTCTGCCTCAAAAAGAAAGAAATTTAAAGAATCCATTGGATTTGGCAATGGGGACTCTGGCAGCTTTTGCCAGTGCAGTGGGAGGGACCTATTGCAGAGGCTTGAAGTGCTAAAACAAGATAATGAAGTCATGAAATAATGCCGGTCTGTTCTGAGAAACAAGTTTCTAAAGTCTTCTTCTGGCATTTGCAGAGTGGTCAACATAAAGTCAGAATTGCATTACAGCATATTCAGGCTACTTTGGTTAGGAAAATGGCACGTGGCACTACAAAGGTCCCAGCATTACAGGAATTTTATGAATGTATGGATTTTTGCTGGGAAAGAACCTGACTTGACATGACCTGCCACACATTTATTCTTTGTCAGCTAACATGGGAAGAATGTGTGTACACGTACCTCCATTATGTGTCTTTCTGGGGTGCTGAGAGAAATGGATTTCATTTGAACTTAAATGGGAACCACAATCCACCAATGAGAGTGCATTCGCAGTCTCTGTGTGTTCACAGCCTCTCATTTCATCTCTAAGAACTACTTTATGATTCTTCTTTATCTTATAGCAGTGTCGTCCAAACATCTCATCACTATGCTATGCAAGTGAGAAATAAAGGTAGTGTAACCTTAAGCAAGTCACTTCTCTCTGGACCTCAGTAGCCATACCTGTGATGTGAGATAACCTCACAGGTCCCACCCAGATCCAGCATGCCATTTGAAAATGAACTACAGTTAGTCCAAAATATCCAGGGTATATTTTGGAAGTAGCAGATTTACCAAATGCTGCATCATGAATTTCCTAACATTTTCAGGCCAGGCCAGGGAGAATTTGGATGACTCTTGTGGGTTTCGGGATGTTGTGGATGCTTTTCAAACCCTCCGAGTTTATTTGAAGACATGTTTCATTTAAGATAAACAAAAGCAACAGACAACTCTGAAAGATCTAATGATCTCTACAATCTCTTAAAGTAAATGAGAGGGCTGTAATAATATTTTATTCAAGAAAGAAATACTAAACATGCAAACAGTTATTATTGTATCAAGCTTAACACATAGAAAGAGCTTTAATTTGAACTCTCAGATCTGTCCACAGCAGGACTAAGTAAGATTTGTGAAAACAAGAAGGTCCCATAGCAGCTGATGCTTTGCAGCCAGCCATGGTCACTTAGGTAGAGAAGGAGTGCGGACCACAGTAGCGTGAAGTGTGGCCAGCCCACAGAGGTTGTCAGCTGTGGGGATGGAACTGTACCTGTCAGCATGCCTTCATTCACCACACAGCTGCCATCAATCAGAACAGCATCACACGGCATTAGTACTTTGTTCCCTGTCAAAATTAATAAATCTCCAGGCACCAGGAAATGTGATTCCAGCTCTTGAACTCCAGCTGAAAGTGTGAAGAGACAGAGTTGAGTCAGGTTATTTTCCCACAAAAAACATAATTCAACATCTATTTAACTTGGATATGAATGAAAAAGCAACCAAGGCTTTTTTTTTTTAAAGGAGACCATCCCTCAACATTGATTCAAAATTTGAAAACAAAAAGAAAAAAAATTTAACAAATTAGAAAATAAAATAAAAACCTTTGTGTGGCAAAATAGTAACTAAAAAAAAAAAAAACACTAATGACAAATTCAGAAACAAATTTGAAACTTACATTCCATATAAAAGGTCAATATTCCCAGCTGAGCACAGTGGCATTGCATTACAGTATATTAAGCATATTACAGTGAGTTGCATTACAGTATATTAAGGCTACTTTTGTTAGGAAAATGGTAATGATGCCTGTAATTCCAGCACTTTTGGAGCCCAACATGGGAGGATCATGTGAGCCTAGGAGTTTGAGACCAACCTGGACAACATAGCAGGAGGCTCATCTTCACCAAAAAAATAAAATAAAACACCTGTATTCCCAGCTACTTGGGAGGCTGAGGTGGGAAGATTGCTTAATATTGTTGTTGTTGAGATAAAGTCTTGCTCTGTCGCCCAGGCTAGAGTGCAGTGATGTGATCTTGGCTCACTGCAACATCTGCCTTCCAGGTTCAAGTCATTGTCCTGCCTCAGCCTCCCAAGTAGCTGGGATTACAGATGCCCACCTCTGCGCCTAGGTAATTTTTGTATTTTTAGTAGAGATGGGGTTTCACCATCTTGGCCAGGCTGGTCTCGAACTCCTGACCTTGTGATCCACCCACCTAAGCCTCCCAAAGTGCTGGGATTGCAGGTGTGATCCACTGTGCCTGGCCTGAAGATTGCTTAATTTTAAGCTAAGGAGGTTGAGATTGTAGTGAGTCAAGGCTGTGCCACTGCACTCCAGCCTGGGTGACAGAGCAAGATTCTGCCTCAAAAACAAAACAAAACAAAACAAAACAAATCCTAATATATAAAGAGTTCCTTTTAAAAAAGAGATCTCCAGCAAATAACTGTATAGCAAAATTGCTAGATATTGTCACTTCATACACACACACACACACACATACACACACACAAACACAAGTGTGTTTGTGTTCAGTGTCTACAAAGCTGTTCATTCTTACCCATAAGAAAAATGAAAGTTCTTCCTTCCTTTCTGATTGATTTCCTGCCTGCCTTTACTTCTTTTCATCCTTATTCAGTTTTAAAGGTATTAGAGGCTATGCAAGATAGGCATCCCTGCAGGGGGCTGGGTGAGGTGGGCTTGCAGCCTAAGCAGGTCAGAAGGGTGTTTACATGGCCTGGTACAGGGCGTCAGAGCTTGAGCAGGGAGAGAAGGGCCTCCATGGTGGCAGTGCCCTGCTGTGGGATGTTGGGACCTGAGCAAGGTGAAAAGGGTATCTACATACGAGTGGGTTGAGGGGCAGTGGGAGCATCAGCGGTGATGAAAGATTGGTTGCATCCAGCAGAAATGGTACAATCAGTACAGTAGCCTCCCTTGACTTGCAGTTTTTCACTTTCCATGAACTGCAGTCAGAAAATATTAAGTGGACAATCCCAGAAATAAACAATGTATACTTTTTCAGTTGTGCACCATTCTGAGTTGAGTGATTAAATCTAGCGCTGTCAGCTCCATCCTCCCTGGAACAGGAATCCATGCTGTATACACTCACTCCCTGCTCGTCATTTTGTCGGTCAGTTGGTTTCTACATTGCCTGATGCTTGTTGCAGGTTATTCCTGTGCTTGTTGCAGGTTACCCTTATATTATTTATTTTACTTGTACCCCAAAGCACAAGAGTAGTAATGCTGGCAATTCATTACATTAAAGAGAAGCAGTAAAGTGCTTCCTTTAAGTGAAAAAGTAAACATTCTCGACTTAAAGAAAGAAAACAAAACTGTATGCTGAGGTTGCTAAGAACTACAGTAAGAACAAATCAACTATCTGTAAGATGTGAAGAAGGAAAAAGAAATTTGTGCTAGGTTTGCTGTCGCACCTCAAACTGCAAACATTATAACCACAATGTGTAAGTGCTTAGTTAAAATGGTAAAGGCATTAAATTTGTGAATTGAAGACATGAACAGAAATGTGTTCCAATTGACAGTGATCGGACTCAGTACTACCCATGGTTTTAAGCATCTATATGGGGTCTTGGAATACATCCCCTGGAGATAAGAGGGGACTACCGTAGATACAATGAAGTTAATCAGCCAGGTTTCTCACTGAAGAAAAGAAGTTACAAATAGATAAAAGAGATACAACTACAACAAACCTGTTGGTAGTAGATTCCAATAAAAAATATCAATGTACTAGATAGAAATAATATGGATGTAAATGTATATGATTATAAGAATATATACATATGTTTGCTAGTCTTCTTGTTTATACACCAATAGTAATGAGCACATCCAGTGTTCAAATTTTGGTTTCTAAATTCCCTTTCTCCTGATTAAAGGGGTTCCTTAGAGAAAGGACTGAGTACAGGCTGGGCCAAGAGTATAATATAAGCTAGAACATCTTGTTGTGCCATTAAGTAGAGAAATGCTCACAGAATGATGGGGACATATTACAAAAATATCAAAGCTGACTTTAAAGGGCTCTCACTGCCTAAATTTGTAACATCAAAGTAAATAATTATAAGGAAGAACTATAACCATCAAATAAAATAGGGATTTATGAGTTCATAATGACATAAGTATATGAATAAATAAATTAAGAGAAGAAACAGGTTTTCCTTGCAGCAAAATGACAATTAATTAATGTAGAAGGAGAGATAACATTAGAAAATCATCATGTGGCAACTATCAAAGTAATAATTAATTTAGCCAAGAAACATCAATGTATACTAAAACTAGTGAGTGAAAATTTGATGAAGATGATTTATTTATATTATCTCAAAGTGTCTCTCAACAAAATAACCATTAATTACAAAGAGAAAAAGAATAAATTTAAAATGAGGAAACCTGGCAGACGCCATTTAATTAATTAATATAAGTTAAAAATCACCAGTAATAGGACAAATTGAAATTATGTACCATCTGAGAGGAAGCAGCAAAAACACAGCATCATGTCTGATATTCCAGCCAAAAATGCATAACCTGAACTTAACTAAGAAGCAACATCAGAAAAATTCAAACTGAAGTACATCCTTTAAAATAACCAGAGGCAGAAGAGTGAAAGTCACAGAATTCAACTAAAAGTGAAAGATTAAAGAGACATGGTAAACAAAAGCATTGTGTAATCCTATATCTCTTTTCTATTAGAACATTACTGAGACAATTGGCAAAACATGAATGAGGTCGAACCATTAGTTGGTAGAAATTTGTGAATATTAACTTCCTGATGATACTGCCCTTCAAGTAGGAAAATGTCTTTGTCTTTAAGAAATACACAGTAGACCCCATCTGTGCAAAAAATATAAAAATTAGCCAGGCATGGTGGTGCACACTGGAAGCTGAGACAGGAGGATGGCATGAGCCCAGGAGGTTGAGGCTGTAGTGAGCTATGATTGCACCATTGCACCCTGGGCAACAGAACAAGTCCGTATTGAAAGGAAAGAGAAAGAAAGAAAGAAAAGAAAGAAAAGGAAGGAAGGAAGGAGAGAGGGAGAGAAGGAAGGAAGGAAAGAAGGAAGGAAGGAAGGAAGGAAGGAAGGAAGGAAGGAAGGAAGGAAGGAAGGAAGGAAAGAAAATACAGAAAAGGAATACACACTAAAGGTTATACAGGTCATGATCATGGAGCTACATGTCAGCAACTTATTCTCAAATTGTTCTAGAAAAAAAGTTATTTAAACTATTCTTGCAACTTTTTTGTAAGTTTTTAATTACTTTCAAAAAAAAGAGACATATGTATTAGATAACACTGCTCACCTTATGATTAGAAAAATATACAAATTTTCCAGCACATTCTATTGGCAAGGTTGTGAGGAATCAGTCACTGACACATTTCTGGTGTGAATGCAAACCGGCATAATCTCTATGGAGAGGAATTTTGGCAATATTTTTCTAGCAAAAGTACATATGCACTTATTTCTTAACCTAGCAATTTTACTTCTCAGAATCTGTATCAAAGATATCCTGGCAAAAATATGAAAACACATATGTACAAAGCTTTTTATTACAGCACTATTTATAGTAGTAAAAAACCGAGAAAAAAATTTTCAATAAAGAATTGACTGAATAAACGATGGGTCTCTCCACACAAGAGAGTACCATACAGCTGAAATGATGAATGAAGAATATCTACATATACTAAATAGTCTCTGGGAAACATAGTTACATATGGAAACTATATACATCAGGAAATATGGTTAAATATGCTTGATATACCTCTATTCATCTAAAAAAACAGCAGTATAAATATATATCCTATTTTGTATATATAATATACAGCTATGAATACTATATATAATCTTTTTATATTTTTAAATGTAAGAATAAATAAAAACCAAACAAAAGTGATGATTATAGAGAGAATGAAGACATAAGGCAGAAAGGAGAGGGATAGGAACCAGACTGCCTTGAATATCTTCTGCCTTATGGATTTGACTTTCAAATCATGTAAATATTTTCTACACCTATACAAAATAATACAAATATAAATTTGAAAAGCTAACAGTAAAATCTAAAGCAAAAGGAGCAAAATAAATCTATCAAGTTGTTGGCATAACCAACAGACAACTATTTTGAGTGACTTAAAACTAAATTTTTGAAAAATGTATAATTTGTACATTTCTAATGGGATGTCACAAAATGGAAAAAACAATACTACAAACATCTAAAATTGTTTTTGGGAATTATATTAATCCTGAATGCATTGGTTTGTCACTCTGAGATTATTATATACAATGGGATAAATCAAAAAAAGTGTAATCTCTTCCTGTCATTAAGAATCAGAACTTCTGGCATAGAGAAAAGAGAAACACAAGTACAATGAATAAAGTGAAGTAAAAAGCCCTTGGTTCTAAACTTGAATTGGA